TTCTAGAACATTAAAAATTTATTTATTTATTTATAATTTTTAAAATAGTAATTATTAAAAGTTACAGTCAAATAATTATTTTAAAAATTACAGTCAAATTACTTTATATCTATTTCTTAAATTAGTCTTATTATAGATCAAGAATATGGCAGATTATTTGGTATTGATATTAATAGAAAAATGCATTTGATCTAAACAATAAAGCCACATCTAAATTCTTTCCTTCTCACAATATGATTTTATTGTTTGGCTTTGACATTTATTTTGATTGATTTTGTAATTTATAATTGTGATGATCTCTTTCTTTTTTGATAAAAATTATCTTTTGTTCTTTATTCCCATGTGTACACAATTTATATTAACAAATTTCCTATTTAAAACAGCTATACTGTAATTTATTTTTCTTTCTGTATTACAGCAAATAGAAATTGTTTTCTTGAATGATATGATATTGGATATGACTTTTAAGGATTTTGTTTTTTTTTTTAATAATTTATCATTTAAAATTTATGTTTTATTTATCTATTTATATTGTATTTAAATACATTTTTGATTATCTATATTATCTGTTTTTTGACAAAAAGTACATTAAAAATTACCTTATAATTGATATACTTTATATTTTTCAATTGCATGATGTCTTTGATTTCTCATTTAGAAAGAAATTTTTAAAGGTTTATTGGATGCATTAAAATGATTTCTTGCAAGTATCGGAAATACCATCTGGCTGACAAATTTCCTGTGGGAACAAAGTCAATTTGTAGCTTTTTTTATTTAAATGTATTGGTTATCGGTCCAATATATTTAAATAGATACTATTTAAATATATTGGGTTATTTTAATATATTATTCAAATTTTTATTTTCAAATTGATGTCAAAATATGAGAATTAATTAAAATAAGGTTCATGTAATCTAAAGCTCTTAAGCTTTAGATTACATGAACCTTGTTATTTTGTTGAGTTGAGTAGATTTGTTGAGTAGAGTAGATTTGAAGGTTTTATAATCTTTTACCATTTAACGGTGCATGCTAACTAGTCGTAATCATTCCATATTGATTTTAAATTTGAATACATGCAAGTTTACGAATTGATATTTATTCACTTGTCAAATTTATTTGAAGATATTTAGTTCTTTTACGATAATAATAACAATAATTATTATTGTAAAAGAATTTAAATGCTAATAGTTCTGTCTAAAGAAGTATACATAGACAAGGCTGTCAAGAGGGGATTTCGAAGTTTTTCTGCCAGCCCAGAGAAAACTTATAAGCACATTATGGTTTCTATCCTATAAATTAATATTAATTTTATTAACAAAAATAAAATATTTAAGACTGATATTAATTAATAAACAAACGTTTTGTGTATTTCATTTATTTAAAAATAGGCAAAACAGGTCTGTTTTATTCTCGGACTCCATATAAATTCTTGATAGCCCTATATATAAGACTTTCCAATTCTTTTGGATGATGATATATTTATAATCATTAAAGTAATAACTTAGTTAAAAATTTAAATGTTTATTAAATTTCATTAACATTTGCTTATTTTTTTATTTTATATACTTTATAGTAATTGAAACACTAATAAAAAGAGCAAAATGAATAAATTTTGTACTGACCATTAGTCATTTGTGAGAATTACATTACAGTAAATTATTATTTAGGTTATTTTTATGTTATATACAAATATAATAAACAAAATATAACACAATGTAAAATAATTTTAAACTTATTTTGAATTAATTCAACAATTTTAGCTTTATTTTTTCTGAAATAATATAGAAATTTTTACATAAGGGGAATAGTAGAAAAAACAACAATTATGGATTCTAAATATGATAGAAAATATGCAGTAGAGCATCAATTATCCGAAATATTCGGGACGGGCTTGCTTGATCATCATGAGAGTTGAAAAATCTGCTTCAGATTACATTTCTAACCTTGTCAATGCTGTTTCTAATGCAACAAATGGTTCACTTTGTGTGGGCACAAAGGTAGCCAAGGAGCCCAAGCCTGAGGAATAATTTAAAATATAATTTGATAATCTAGACATACAAAATGTATATAAAACATGAAATTGAAAAAGTCCTAATGTTAAATAAAATTATAGACATTTTATTTAATAACAAAAATACTCAAACTGTTTATAAGTGTTTGTTTCCATGAGTTATACTTTAATTATTAATATAATGTCAGGAAAAATTTTTTGATTGATGCATGGTTTAAATTTATCAAATTTTGTATAACTTACAGATAATAATCTGAATTTTATATTCCAATTTTTAAAAAAGAATAAACTTATTTATTTAGAATGTTTCATTCTAATTCCTTTTCTATTTTCTTTCATATACTGTATATGTAACTTCATTGGTGTATGAGTCTGAGGGTCCTTGGCCAAAGCAAGAACAAAAGAAAAAAATTAAACAGAGAAAGCAAAATGGTTAACAAATTATTAGCGATGGCAAATTAAAAATTGGTACCTGTGTTTTTATTTGTGCAAAATTTTGGATACTTTCCCTGTAACTAGTGTCCCCATACACTCGTGTATAACTTTATATTCTTTTTAAATAATAACGATTGTACAAACAATTTAGATCTTATATTCTTTTTTTAAATACGCAAGTAAATGTTGAAACTATATGATTTACATTCTTTTGTTCACTGTACACATTTGAGATGTCTGTATCAACATTCTTCCATTTTCTTTGTGTTCAAATTATTTAAGTTTCTTTCAACATATTTATTTTAACTTCTTCTCTCTTTTTATCAATTATGCATTTGTCTAAACATTTGCATTCTTCCGTAATGGCTCTTTCTGCTTCCATTTTATCTATCTTGCTGCTATATAAAAATAACATTGAAACCTACTAGATTTATTGCCTTTTCCTTATCTTGCATATCATCCACCTGTCGCCATTACACAAAACAACATATATATGGTTTATTCATACAGAAAATAATTATTGTTTTATAAATATTTTGAAATTTATGACTAAGCTGTAATTAATAATTTAGAATGCATGTTCACCATATTGTTCCACATCGGTTGTATGTAGAAACAATGCAACATCGCGTTTATTATTCAGCAGTTAGAAATAATTCGTGAATAATTGAGAATAATATGAGCAGAAATAGTTATTTGGTTCTATTATTTAATGACATTCACTGTCATAGCCAAGCTACAGGTGAACAGAATATTTGAAACTTTAGTACTATATAGCTTTTTATTTATTGATCTTAATGTTTTATTTGCTGGATATAGAATATGAATAATNTGCTGTGGCGCTGCAATCTTTGGCTATGTCTTGGGCTACTCAAATATTTTACGTTTTTGATACTAAATTAACTTCTGAAGTATAATTTTTTATTGTTTTTATATTTTTCAATATATTTATTTTGTTCGTACAAAATAAAAAAGTAATTTTTAACGATACAATAGTCTTCGTTAGGCTTAACACCGACGAAAATTCAACGCGAAGCAACACGCAACGGAGAAAAATGTCAAGATAGGATAAATTAATATATTTTTTGTTCATAATCGGTTATCCGAAACATCGATCTTCCGAACAACCCCAGTCCCCAATTGATTCGGATAATCGACGCTCTATCTAAAAATCAAAGAATTTCAGCGCATGAGATGCTGGATTCTTGTAATTTAGGAAATTTCCAGCAAGGGTGTAATAAAGTGACCAAATGTATAGAGAATATCATCATCGGTGACGCCAATCGGTTTCAAAATGGATCTTATCGTTTCGGACGCACAAAAATCGTCATATTTATAAAGATATTGACTGATATTGATGCGATTGTTTTAGCAATCGAACAACTCGAAAAACAGCTGCTGAGTACCAATCAATGTCTGATATGAATTAAAGGTCATGAGATCATTTCATACTCATTTAGGATCCGGGTTAGAATCCTATTCAAACTTTCATGATTTTTTTCTTAATGAATTATAAGACGTATCTAAAATTTATGTGAAAATTAAGATGCACCTTATAAGTAGAATGCCTCTTATACTGTGAAGAATTCCCCCAAAATCGACGTGAAAAATGCGAAGTATCCAACACCACGGTGGGTCTTATAAGACGAAAAATGCGACAATTACTTTCTATGGTGAAAAAAATAGGAAAATAACGTGGCACATTGTTCAACATTATTGTAAAATAAGAATTCTAATCTTCCACTTTATGAAATTTTGATATTCTTTCGATCCAGATATGTGAAACCCTGTATCTCGTAACTCGTTGGCCTCCATTGTGGATCCGGACGAAGGCCATGTTGAAGGTGAAGACCCACAATGGAAAAAAGAGTTTTAAAAAGTAGCAAACAGTTTGTCTCTTTGTGTATAGAATCAAACTAAAATCGCTTATGTCTTTTGATAATGTCGCAATGTCGTGAAACCAGAGTAAGTCATAAATCATGCTTTAGCAATATAATACGCCAGTAAAAGACACAAAATACATTTTGTTAAAATTACGCATTTTTAATTTATTAAATAACATGTAAACATTCAAATTCAAGTAGAGATTTATTTATAAAATCTCAATAAAAATCCGCATCGAAACTAATATGAGATGTGACCTAATTTACTGACGTCACGATTATTTCAAACCTGGAACGTAGAGGACGCTAGACGAAGAAGAAAAGTTTCTTAAAATATTAGATTTAATAAGAATTTTATTTTTTAAATTAAAGTTTGTAAAAATTGTATATTAAAAATCCGAAAAATAATTTATTACGTTTAACACCATTTAAAATTTTCTTTTTTTGAGTAAGTATAATTTCCGATTATCGGGAAAACTTTTTAAATTTTCAAAGATGGGGTTACAGTCGCTAGTTTATTCGTTGCTATTGACAACCGACCAGACGACGTTGCACCCAGCAATGCACTCGATTTAAGTACGCTTTTTACGTTTATCATAAAATATTTTGCAATATTTCAGAAATATTTATAATTCTTGCTATAAAAAGTGACAAAAATGACGTAATTTCAGTGCGAAAACGAAGAGGAAGAGGCAGAATGCTCGTGCAAGAGCCTGTGGAACCTTTGGTGCCTAAGCCCAGAAGGACCTTTCATGTACAACCGGGAACTGATCCCGGACGAGCCGCAATACGTCACTTGTGTCTTCAGCCGTCAACAGGAGAAACAGTTAAGTGCCTATTTAATGCGGGACAATCGAATGTTCCTTAATTCGCGGCGGTGTATTGTTTGGCTCTTTATTGATTCCTGTAAGCGGCAATGAAGGCAAATCGCATCGATCCGCGTTATGACCTTGTGCGATATTGTAGTACGCCCTCGTAAAAAACACTTGTTTATTATCAGAATTCGATAAAATAAACGGTTTCCGAGTAGTTTGATAGTGCGGTGTCTTTAAATTTTTACGGCTGAACTCAAGTGTTTCCAAATGCGTGTTTGGCTGCGGATGCTTCAGCATCCTTTCCGATACAATCGAGGCTGCGAACGAGACAGTTGGAACCTTTGGAGCCGTAGACTGTACCCATGAGAGCAAAAAAGTCAAAGGATCTGTACCTCTACATGTGACCCTTTGCCCTTTGTGATGGAGCCACTCAAAATTGCATTACGTCGTTTGCAGACTAAACAGTTAAATGCATCAGTCTTAGTCAGTTTAACTGTTTAGTCCACTTGATTGTTCATAGAGTACTTGATATGTAGTTTTAGAGGCACGGATGTTGAAATGCAAGCAACGGTGAGCACGGAAGTGTGACTGTGTGCTCTGTGTTGGTCAAGGTGAGCAATAGCAATGCCTTGACCAACATGGGGAATGGGTGGTATACCAATACATGGTAAAAACTGGCCTTTGGAGACAAACATCTTAACAAGGGTTGCACATATGAGTATGGTTCTCTTGACTTTTTATACTCATATGGGGGTTCTATGACTGGGGGTGAGAAACCCCTAGTTTGGCATTTGCATCTTACATTATTTGTTGCTTAAGGAGATGAGCTCGTGGGACACCCTGCTTTTGCAAGAAATATTGACCATTGAACTGGAAATAATTATGCTCTGTTATTAGTAGGACAGATCCCCGAATGACAAGCACCTGTTGAATTGTATAGGATTTTTGTAGTAAAAGTTATTAGCAAGCATCACTGCATCGAAGTGTGGTACAGATAGATATAATGAAATAATATTAATTTTGTAAAATTGATGTGTTTCAGGTGATACTGTTCCTACCATTTTCATGATTCTTGATTTGGATTTTAATGTTGAACAGACAACTAAACTAGAATGGGGGATTAATGCCTTAAAAAAGGATGTATTCTTATTTTGCCTGAGGAAGATATTTGAAATGTCTAAAATACTTGTTTAATTCGTCAAACAAATAAATTTAACTCTGAAAGACAGTACAATTTCTTATGTATATTTAGCATCATAAGTTAGAATATAAAGTTTTATAAACATGGAAACTGCAAAACAATTTTTCTCATTCCTTAAATCAAGAATCAAATGGCTTGATTAGCATAACCAGTTATTCTTCCTCTTATGTTGTCATAAACATGGTCTAATATCTGAATATGTGTCACTTAAATATATTTCATTGAGCCATTCTGACATAAGGTGGAAACCTTATGTCAGAATGACTCTTTCCAAAAATGAGTTGCTAGCTAGAGAGCAAAAAGGAAGGAGGTAGCCTCTTTTGAATTTTTGCTCTACCTCACATATATGGTCTTCACCACAAATTGTGATCCTATATGTTTGTATAATAAACTGGCAAAAATTCAAGCTATCTCATACAAACAATCACATGTTGTAAAAGAAAAAATGATGAAAAAATTTCTCTGGCTCCTGTGGGCTTTCAGCAACAGCTCAAAACATTCTCACAAGGTACAGTACCACAACTAATCTGATGTCAAAGTCCCAGACAATATCCATTACTTTCTAAAATATGGCCCCAAGTACATTCTGCTGGTGAATACTTCTCTAGCAGAATTAATTTCTCCCATTATGGCAGCAGCAAAAAGTTGTCAGCACCTTCAACCTAGTTTGGAAATTGAAGCTATATCCAAATTTTATTCTTCCAAGACTGCATCCTATCAGTGTAAGGTGAACTTGAAGGTTGCTAATAAGAACTGTAGAATGGTGAAGCAGTTTCTCTGTAACAAGAACCTGAGACTATTAATTTCAGACAACACCAAAAAAGATTTGTCTTATGTATGTAAGATGTTCCAATGTTGACATTACATCTAGAGCAACACAATTTTTTGCACAGTCATCTGTTATATTAAGCATTTATCCCATTCCTAATGTTATAAGAAAAACTAAAAATATTATCTCGTGTCCTGATCTAACCGCCATCATCATTGGTCCTCTGGATCCTCTTACAAACATGGCTTGCCTATATCTGTTTTTTGAGGTTAAACCACACAAACATGGATGGCCTGTTTGCCCCTTAGCCAACAAACAAATCCATTCCATATATTTCTTGGAAAAGGTCCTAGCCACCTTTTTTAAGGTATTATTCCCCCATTCTAGTTCAGTCATCTCTTCAACATTAAAATCTAAAGAATCACGAAAATTGTAGGAACAGTGTCATCTGAAACATATCAATTTTACAAAATGTTATTTCCATTTCATTATATCCATCTATACCACACTTCGATGCAGTGATGATTGTGAATACACTTTTACTACAAAAATCCTATACAATTCAACAGGTGCTCGACTTTTGGGGAGCCCTCCTACCTAATTTCTTATGGCTTGAGGATGCAGCTGCATTCGTGCACGTATTTCTTAAGCCGATTACGCACATACAGTTGTATGACAAATGACATTGCTCTTGAAATAACTTCTAGCATATAATAATTTGTGTTACATCACTTACATTTTGTTACATGTGCCCTTCTGAATGCAGCTTAATTTCTTGATACTCCTATGACATGTAATGGTTGCTATTTCTTTAATACATGAGATTGTGACTTGATTGTCATTTGCAATCTATCATAGTCATAAATACTGTATGTACTTGTATGAGTAAAAGGAACAAAAACTGTTGATTCTGGTATATTTGAATGGGCACACCTGTTTAATATACCCAAATACGATGATGGAACTGTCTATTTTTTGTCATCCACATGTTTGGGTATGCCAGTACATGTGTAGCCATCTTTATGTTATGTCATGTCAAGGTAATTTTTTCTATACTGTTGTTGTGTGTAAGTGTTTGTATGAATGCATTCAATTTTACTGTTAGCCAATCAAGTATCAAAATTTTGTGTAATTTTTTACCAAGGATCATTTAAAATGGGATATTTTTTTAATCCGGTGATTAGATTTTCATCTTTTGACAAGCTTTCCTCATTATTTTTTCTCACATTCCTGTGTGCATGAAATTATGGAACAGTTTTGATTGGCCAAACATAAGGTGCCTTTTATCAGAATTGACGTGGTATCGGTTCAAACAAATGATTGTTGCTCTTGAAATGGCTTCCTGGCATATCATAATGTCATGTTGCATTACTTATATTTTGTCACTTATGCTTGTCTGAACACAGCTTAACTTTTTGATGCTCCTAAAACAGTTGATATAACTTTAATTTATATTTTTATTTATTTATTTATTTATCTAATTAGACATACTAGGCAGAGCCCATGATGCGGGATATACAATAATTCGTTACATGTACATTACACACCAAAAAAATATCATAATCATTCATTATTACAGAGAAAATTAACATATACATAAATCAAACAAAACAAATTATACAAGTATTATTATAAACATCAAAAATAAATATCTGAAAACCAAATATCCAAATATAAACATATAACATAATAATAAAAAATTATGGGGAGAACTATCCAACCAAAATTATCATTATATAAAGAAAAAAACATTAACTTTAATTTATAACGTTGTGGCTTGACTGATGATGATTGCAATCTGCCCTTGTAATAAATACATGCTTATATAAGTAAAAAAGCAAAGGAACTGTTTGTGGTTGACCACAAACTTGCTAATACACAATTATTGCTATTTTTTACGTTATTTAAACAAAATAAATAGATACAGCAACAAAAAATACAGTCAGCTTCAATTCAATGGATTAATAGAGAGAGAGAGAATGTCTATACTTTCTGGTTCTGCTTAAATAATAATAATAATAAATACAAGAATTATAAGGAGAAAAACTAATAAATTAGTATATAATGATAAATCACATTTACATAGTAATTTTTAAATTGTAAAAAGAAATGTAAAATAAATGTTAAAATGCTAATCTAATGCAACTGATATGGAATTTCTCTTGTTGAAACCTTAACACATATTTTGGATTCTGGTAATTTTGGTCACATTACCAAAATTCATTAAATTTGGGTCTTCTGAATTGAGGGTCAATTGTAATGAGCTTCTGTAAAATGATGATGATTGATCTTAAACCATATACTGTAAATTTTGAGGTTTCAAAAATTGTATAGAACCTAACCTAATTCTTAAAATATAAAATATAGAAAAGTGTGAACAAAAAATTCACTAACCCAGTCTTGAATTAATACCAAATGTTTTGCTTTATTAATTGGGCTATAAGAAGACTAATTTAATAATAAATAGATATAATCATACTGGTTACCTTATATCTAAGTTAATATTTGCGTAAGTGAAGAGTGAATGTTGTTCTGGATAGTGTAATTGGCAATACATCTGCACAGTAAAACAGAGTTGTGGGTTTGAGACCTGTTCTGGGCCGATTTATTTCTTCAAGAACATTAAAAATTTATTTATTTATTTATAATTTTTAAAATAGTAATTATTAAAAGTTACAGTCAAATAATTATTTTAAAAATTACAGTCAAATTACTTTATATCTATTTCTTAAATTAGTCTTATTATAGATCAAGAATATGGCAGATTATTTGGTATTGATATTAATAGAAAAATGCATTTGATCTAAACAATAAAGCCACATCTAAATTCTTTCCTTCTCACAATATGATTTTATTGTTTGGCTTTGACATTTATTTTGATTGATTTTGTAATTTATAATTGTGATGATCTCTTTCTTTTTTGATAAAAATTATCTTTTGTTCTTTATTCCCATGTGTACACAATTTATATTAACAAATTTCCTATTTAAAACAGCTATACTGTAATTTATTTTTCTTTCTGTATTACAGCAAATAGAAATTGTTTTCTTGAATGATATGATATTGGATATGACTTTTAAGGATTTTGTTTTTTTTTTTAATAATTTATCATTTAAAATTTATGTTTTATTTATCTATTTATATTGTATTTAAATACATTTTTGATTATCTATATTATCTGTTTTTTGACAAAAAGTACATTAAAAATTACCTTATAATTGATATACTTTATATTTTTCAATTGCATGATGTCTTTGATTTCTCATTTAGAAAGAAATTTTTAAAGGTTTATTGGATGCATTAAAATGATTTCTTGCAAGTATCGGAAATACCATCTGGCTGACAAATTTCCTGTGGGAACAAAGTCAATTTGTAGCTTTTTTTATTTAAATGTATTGGTTATCGGTCCAATATATTTAAATAGATACTATTTAAATATATTGGGTTATTTTAATATATTATTCAAATTTTTATTTTCAAATTGATGTCAAAATATGAGAATTAATTAAAATAAGGTTCATGTAATCTAAAGCTCTTAAGCTTTAGATTACATGAACCTTGTTATTTTGTTGAGTTGAGTAGATTTGTTGAGTAGAGTAGATTTGAAGGTTTTATAATCTTTTACCATTTAACGGTGCATGCTAACTAGTCGTAATCATTCCATATTGATTTTAAATTTGAATACATGCAAGTTTACGAATTGATATTTATTCACTTGTCAAATTTATTTGAAGATATTTAGTTCTTTTACGATAATAATAACAATAATTATTATTGTAAAAGAATTTAAATGCTAATAGTTCTGTCTAAAGAAGTATACATAGACAAGGCTGTCAAGAGGGGATTTCGAGGTTTTTCTGCCAGCCCAGAGAAAACTTATAAGCACATTATGGTTTCTATCCTATAAATTAATATTAATTTTATTAACAAAAATAAAATATTTAAGACTGATATTAATTAATAAACAAACGTTTTGTGTATTTCATTTATTTAAAAATAGGCAAAACAGGTCTGTTTTATTCTCGGACTCCATATAAATTCTTGATAGCCCTATATATAAGACTTTCCAATTCTTTTGGATGATGATATATTTATAATCATTAAAGTAATAACTTAGTTAAAAATTTAAATGTTTATTAAATTTCATTAACATTTGCTTATTTTTTTATTTTATATACTTTATAGTAATTGAAACACTAATAAAAAGAGCAAAATGAATAAATTTTGTACTGACCATTAGTCATTTGTGAGAATTACATTACAGTAAATTATTATTTAGGTTATTTTTATGTTATATACAAATATAATAAACAAAATATAACACAATGTAAAATAATTTTAAACTTATTTTGAATTAATTCAACAATTTTAGCTTTATTTTTTCTGAAATAATATAGAAATTTTTACATAAGGGGAATAGTAGAAAAAACAACAATTATGGATTCTAAATATGATAGAAAATATGCAGTAGAGCATCAATTATCCGAAATATTCGGGACGGGCTTGCTTGATCATCATGAGAGTTGAAAAATCTGCTTCAGATTACATTTCTAACCTTGTCAATGCTGTTTCTAATGCAACAAATGGTTCACTTTGTGTGGGCACAAAGGTAGCCAAGGAGCCCAAGCCTGAGGAATAATTTAAAATATAATTTGATAATCTAGACATACAAAATGTATATAAAACATGAAATTGAAAAAGTCCTAATGTTAAATAAAATTATAGACATTTTATTTAATAACAAAAATACTCAAACTGTTTATAAGTGTTTGTTTCCATGAGTTATACTTTAATTATTAATATAATGTCAGGAAAAATTTTTTGATTGATGCATGGTTTAAATTTATCAAATTTTGTATAACTTACAGATAATAATCTGAATTTTATATTCCAATTTTTAAAAAAGAATAAACTTATTTATTTAGAATGTTTCATTCTAATTCCTTTTCTATTTTCTTTCATATACTGTATATGTAACTTCATTGGTGTATGAGTCTGAGGGTCCTTGGCCAAAGCAAGAACAAAAGAAAAAAATTAAACAGAGAAAGCAAAATGGTTAACAAATTATTAGCGATGGCAAATTAAAAATTGGTACCTGTGTTTTTATTTGTGCAAAATTTTGGATACTTTCCCTGTAACTAGTGTCCCCATACACTCGTGTATAACTTTATATTCTTTTTAAATAATAACGATTGTACAAACAATTTAGATCTTATATTCTTTTTTTAAATACGCAAGTAAATGTTGAAACTATATGATTTACATTCTTTTGTTCACTGTACACATTTGAGATGTCTGTATCAACATTCTTCCATTTTCTTTGTGTTCAAATTATTTAAGTTTCTTTCAACATATTTATTTTAACTTCTTCTCTCTTTTTATCAATTATGCATTTGTCTAAACATTTGCATTCTTCCGTAATGGCTCTTTCTGCTTCCATTTTATCTNGTTTCAAC